AGTTAATAAATAAAATGTTATTATCAATCAAATATTTATTACAATATTTTATGAAAGAGTGCAGGTATTTTTTCTAATAATATCAATGTGATGCATATATTATTAGAAATTATATATTTGAATTTGACCTTTATCTTTTAGGCAATACGTTACATTAATGTTGTAAACAGGAAAGACTAGATTTTTTTAACCATTTAATAAAAAAAATCTTTCACCTACAGAAAGTGATATTATCAAATAGTAACGTGGATTGTAAGGGGAGAAAGGGATTGTTGATAATGGAGTCTAACTGACCTATTGCTAGCAATACACCCTGTCAGGTCGACCTCCACGCGGTTCCCCCTGGAAACCATAGTGGTTAATTCTAGTGGAATTTGTCACGATGAGCTAACTGACCTGCTTTCATTGTCACCGATCATCTATCACTGGTGCCCCGCCAGTGTATACCGAAAGCGCAGGCGGAGTTACCATTCCATTATCACCCATTAAAAAGAAAACATGGATCGTAATTTATTAAAAAAAAAAAAAAAACACGAATCCGGCACGTGCCTTTAAATACATACAAATATACAGCTAAACACGAGTGCCTCACTTCCTTCGTGAGTGGGTAAGAACAATTGGAATTGTGGATTTGTTTTTAATAATACACTTATTTATTTGTTTTTTTTTTTTTTCACTTGCAACATTATGTCTACCTTCAACAGGCGACGTTATCTTAACATGTCCAGTCAGTGCGAATGGTTCCGAATTTCTGTCTCCCTTTAGAATTGTTACCTTTAATTAATAATTTCTCTACAAACGACAGATACATTACTTAATATTGTATGTTATAATAAATTAGAAGAATAGAATAGAAATAGAATAGAACAGAAATATTCTTTATTTAAATAGACATGTTTGCAAGCTCTTTTAAATCTTTATTTTTTTATAATCGTATTGATGGGTTCGGGATGTTATCTGGTGAGAAAAACCCATAAGAAATTAAACAGTTACTCTTTTCAAATTATTATGTAGGTACAAGATGATTTTACATTTGCATGGGTTCTGTGACTATTTGTATGTATTATTAAATGGAAAATAAACAATTCAACATATGCAGAACTGTCCTTATAAGCAGTACCCGTTCACGAGTATGACGGATAAGTCAACAATCATTGGACTCGACGATATTTTAGGGAATACGACACGGTGCGTCACGCCGCTGTCAAGAAAAATAGCAGGTATAGATTTTGTATTATCTGATATCTATTTATAGTTGGGAGATTTCGAAAAACGATTTGCATTCTACTTTTTTTATTTTAATTGTACTGGTATATAATAAATAAGTATATTTGAATTTTGTTGGTGTATTGGTAACAGTTCGGTATGATTACTAAGTATATGTAAATATGGTAAAATCAAATTCATTAATAACTTTTGAAAACAGTATTCTAACAGTAAAAAAAAACAGTTTTTGAAAGAAAGATGGGTCGAAAATGACATGAAATTTAGGGCCTCCCGTACTTATTTTTTTGCTTACACGTGTTTACCCTCATCACGTGATCATGTGACATTATCGTCGACACGTCCAGCCAGGGACCCAGGCCGCGCCCGCGGTCATACTGTTGTCACTTTAGAATAAACAGCCTCCCTAGATAAGTAGTAAGCAAATCTACCGTTAGACATGTTTTCGTCACTTCACGCATGGGATAGAACAAGAAGCCAAACGTCATTGTCTCTTTCTATTTAATGTAAGTACCCAACAACCATAACATATTTATCAATAGACTCGTATGGCAATTGTCTAGGGGTAGAATAACTAAGCTATAACGTTGACTCTACTCGCGAAAATTAAGATGAAAACTATCGCAGAGTTTTAATAATGTATTATAATTTTTGTTTTTGTGAAGCAAAATATACTTACCAAAATAATAAAAATGTATTTTTTACTTAGTATCAATATATATATATATATATATATATATATATATATATATATATACATATATTGACATACCTATTTACTAAAAAACACAAACGTATTTAACATACATTTTAAATAATTATAAACAAATCACATACTTACACATAATTATAAAATAAAAATAACTTTAAACATGTACACAAAATAATAGAATATAAGAAAATAACACCAATTAATATATCAACACGACCAAAAAATCGTGCACGCACTCACGCAAAAAATGCAACAAAAAATAACAAGGGGGCGAGTTGGGTGGACCCCTGTCCCACCCCACCGCCTACTGGCCCCTCATATCTCTGCACTCGCCAGCGCTAATCTGTATATTTTACGAAAGCATTTTGTACAAAAACATTCTAACTGAATTTGGTCTCTATATTGTATTATTCAAGTGTAAATTTCGTTTGCTCCTATTTGGCATGTGTTCGCAAAAGAGTTTCCCAAAACGGCAGACAGGGGGAGTGAGGTCTACCTACCTAAAAACGTGGAAACACTGATGAATGTCCCCCATTAGATGTTATTTATTTAGAATGTGGCCGAGAAAGGGACTCGGCCGTTTAAGTTTACCTAAAGTTTACTTAGGACCGACTATATTGGGTTAAACTGAAGACGTTACAGCTCAAGACAAATGGTGCACAGTTACAGGGGTCCAGTTTTTCGAGTTTTGGCTTATGATCGTATTTATCATGACGATGTTCCGACACTGCAGTAAGGAACACTCACGAGTCACCAGTAATATATTTGTGTTTGTAGTATTATAATATAGTTAGGAAATAAAGTAAAATGCTATAGTCTCAAATTGTATATACGGGACTTCTCAATTGGCTTATTATCGTGAAGTCATTAAAATAATTGTAGCTAGTTATTATATTTTTCATTTTATATATTTATCTTGTGTATGTGTACATTTCAGAGGGAAACTTTGTACAAAAGTCGATTGCTTGGGTACCTCTGTCCTATTCGTGTTTCTACCGTTAAGCAGTTGTGGTTGCATAGCTATGTTTCGGTTTGAAGGCGTGAATTTATAGAGTACAGAGGAATAACACCAGAGTCCTCAGGAATAGAAACGCATGGGGGGTATCATGGGCGAAACAGTATACTCTATTATGTCTATGGTACTGCTCATGTCTATAGGCGACGGTTACCAATTTCCATCAGGTGGGCCGTCAGCTTGTTTGCCATTCTAAGTCGTATAAAAAATAAAAAAATAAATACATATATATATTCCTTTATATTTATATATGCATATTATAATCATCATTGTATGATATCATCATTTATTTTATTTAAAATTTTCACACCTTTTCCCATGAGAGTCGCGACTAAGAGAGGGCAAGGGATGAGCAGCAGCGTCCCTCTTAAAGGCTGACTGCGGCTAACAAGCCCAAAGTCAGGTCGACCACCACGCGGTTCCCCCTGGAAATCATTGTGGTTAATTCTAGTGGAATTCGTCACGATGGGCTAACTGACCTGCTTTCATCGTCACATATCATCCCTCGTTGGTGTCCCGCCAGCGTATACCGATAGCGCAGGTGGGGTTACTATTTCATTATCACCCATTAAAAAAAATCGCCTGCCAAGCGTGGCAACTACTGGCAAAACTCCCCTTATGGGAAAGGCTTATGTTCAGCAGTGGACAGTTAACGGCTGAAATCATAATAATAAAATTGAATATATGATACTTATAACAACTGGTTGAGTAGTTACGACGTAAAGAGGTGACAAACAAATAAACATAATAACTTTCACATTTCAGGTATTACTGAGAAAACAAAAATTCGAATTTATATAGTAAATTTGCGATAGGACAGATTATGCAGCGGTCTGTCTGTCTGTCGGTGCGTCAATAGGTAACTAATGGTATCCGCTCCGCCTACACGGACGGCCCCGTAACGTGAGTGATGGGACGCCATTTAAAAAATGCCAATCTGCGATTTATACAGTAACATAGGTATATACTGTGACTTCACATACGTGACAGATAGAAAGAGTAATACAGAAAAAATAAGACAAAAAATCTCAGAGTCTCGACGTCATATTTTTTCAAATTTTGTAAATAAACAATATTGATAGAAATGTCTAAATTAAATTGATTGAATGTTTTCTGTCTAATTTTTTTTTGTGTTCCATTTATGCGTGCTGGTTTTTTTCTTGTAATATAGATTTAATAGATTTATTTATTTTCTCTACAAATTTCACAGAAAAAAGACAGACCTGACCTTTTCTCCTGTTTTTTTTTTTTTACTACTTAGAATGGCAATCAAGCTGATGGCCCACCTGATGAATAATGGTAACCGTCGCCTAGAGACATAAGCAGTACCATGGACATAACAGAGTATACTGTTTCGCCCATGATACCCCCCATACGTTGCCATTCCTGAGGACTCAGATGTTATTCCTCTGTACCCTGTAAATTCACGCCATATCCCACCCTTCAAATTGAAATACAGCTATGCAAACACAACTGCTTCACGGTAGAAACATGAATGGGACAGAGGTACCCAAGCAGTCGACTTCTGTACAAAGTCTCCCTCTGGTAAAAAAAAAGTAAGTTACATAAAAATAAAGTTTGTTGCTTGGTTCCTCAAAACACTATACACATAGCTTGAGGATCAGGCAATTTATGTAATTGTGTGGTAATTACTTACAAACATCACAATCTGGGGGAGGGGGATTGTTAGTAATGTGAACCACCAGTCCTATTGCTAGCAATACACCCGGACAGGTCGACCTCCACGTGGTCCCCCCTAGAAACCATCGTGCTAAATTTCAGGTTTTTTTTCTTTTGATGGGTGAAAATGGTATGGTAACCCCGCCTGCGCTAACGGAATACGCTGGCGAAGCACCAGTGAAGGGTAATAAATGAGAATGAAAACAGGACAGTTAGCCCATCATGATGAATTCATTAGGAATTAACCATGATAGTTTCCAGGGAGAACCGCGAGGAGGTCGACCTGGTTGGGTATATTGCTAGCAGTGGGATTCTCAGTCTCCATTACTAACAATCTCTTTTCCCCCTAATTCCAGGTGTATTCATCAAGATGGGCTAACTGACCTGCCTTTTCATTCTCATCGATTATCCTTCATTGATACCACGCCAGCGTATACCGTTAGTGCAAGCGGGGCTACCAATCCATTAGCGTCCATTAAAAAAATAATCACACCCTAGAACCGTTAAGGCGCTAAAAGATTACAAACAAATTCCCTTTCATATTTTAATGTTAGTAAGTATTATATTAGGGAAACGACATCTTTCGCCCCTTATAATCTTGTTGTGGCAAATCTAATATGAAGAACGCCATATCCAGGTGAGTAAGTACAGTGTAAAGTAGCAAGTAATCCTATCACATAGTTTGCACTATACCTGTGTTATATGTCGTATCGGGCACGATATTATGTCGTATTCATGTCTAATGTATACTGTTTTTTAATACATCTACCTATCAACTCGCATTATGGACGAGTGAACAAGTACGGTGAGCAGAAAAATCTTTGTTTTCGATTATTTGGCCGATAATATTAATTTCGTTCTTAATTTGTATATATTTATTTTTGTTTATATGTTTGTATATATGTCAATATATTAAGAAATATAGATCTGTTAGAGACTCTTACGACATGTCCTTTAAAATATAGTTATTATCTCAGGAATAATCTCCATAGAAAATATTGATTTAATTAATTAACAGTCATTAAAATCAGAAGAAAAAAGTAATTATTATACCTTTCAAATTAATACGAAATCCAAATCCACGGATTATTTTTATTTAATTAGTAATTTATTTTATAATATGCTTTAGTAAAAAGAATTGTTTTTAAATATATATATATAATTTTCTTTCATTTCATTTTAAAACATTGTTTGGAAGTTTATTATAAAAACATTTATAGACTCTATGAACGATCGAGTATATTTCCTGTCAACCCAATCGTTTGAGCCTATTTTTAAATTTTCAAATGACCACAATAAGAATGAGGCTCTAAATTCGGTTCTATTTTTGTTATTTTTGTTACCTTATAACTTCGTTAACTGTAAACAGGTTTGGACATATCTTTTTTATCTGAAAGAATATACTTATTGATTAATCTTATAGAAATTTTATTAAAATAGAATCAGTAGTTTAGTTTTTAAATCAAATAACTGGTTTGACAAACACAATTGAAATTAATTATAATATTGCCACAATTATTTTTTTTATGTGGGGAAGTAAGATAAATTTTATTTTGTTTGAATTACGTTTTATAGACATTACAATTGTGTTATTTGTATGGCAATTCGTTTCGAACTCTGAATATCACGTAACAGTTAAAAGACGCTTAAGTATAAAATAATTATAGACCTGTAAGTTAGATATTTCCAGTAAAATTTTCACCTAATAACTTTTTCTTAAAAAGTTAACTTTATTACAAGCAATTTTGAGTAGTCATTTTTTTATTAATCTACCGCCCATTCGAAATATAATGTCAGCTGATAAAAACGAGCAAGAAACTTAACTGTTGCTTCTTTCAACAAAAGTTGATTTTACATTTGTAGTAACAATACAGAGTAGTACAAGGGTTATTTAAATTATTAGATAAATCAAGTTTATTATTGTAAATATTATTATGAATTAAATATGTCATTTATATGACAAACAAATTATATTCAGATATATGGCAGACTTCATTCATAATATATCTTATGCATGGATATTTAGAGTCAGGCACGCTTGTTTTGCAAGTATTGGTTTAAAGGCAGGAAACGACACCACCACCACCTGTAAAACTGTATAAATTATTTTATCAATGTAATCTTTACCTTTTTTTGCCAACTGTACGCCGCCCACGTCCCTAGCAAATGTTGTGGTGAATTTCATATTTTTGTAAGTATCTACTTCGTCTGTTTATTCTCCATGTGTTTCGGTTCACATGAAAATTTCTTGATTTTTTATGCTTTCATAAGCTTTATATGTAAGCGGCGTGTTTGAAGAGCTCTCTTACATATGGAATATCATATTAGAGCACTTTCTGCTGACTCATTATTTTATTACTTTAGAAAAGTGCTCGAAACATTATAATAATGTTTATTTTCAAGAATGTATTATTTTATTGTAGTTTTATTGGTAGATACAAACGGATAGCTATCGTTTTTTTTTAATTTTCTTCAAAAATTATACCTTAATTGTGTACCTCATTAAATCGACTTTAAAAACAAGTAGGTTCTCTTATCATTCTTAACCGACTTTGGAAAATTATTTTGTTATCGGAAAGGATATACTTTCAGATTAGTTCCATAGAAAGTTTATCAAAATCGGTTTAGTAGTTTAATTTTCAGATCTAAATAACTGGTTTTGTCACAATTAAATATGGTTTTTTAGTGGGATTTTAATTATTAGGTATTAAATTGAAATTGTGGCTGTATTCTTAATTAGCTATACTAATTATGACTTTGCTCTTATTAATTGGAAATAAATACCTTATATTATTTTTATTATATTTATTACATTACTGCCTATTATTATTATAGTATCAGTCGTAATACCATGTTGTTATACTATACTGACACCCAGTAATATATCGAAACACCATGATTTATCCCAAACAACGAACATAGATAAAATTTGAATTTTTTTTTTGTATATTATGATTATTTACTTTTTTTTTTAATAAAATAACTAGAAATCGACCGCAGGATAGATTGGTCAGTGTAAACCATTTTTAAAGATGCTTCCGCAGCGAATATTGGTTTGCTGGCGTTTGTAATTTTTATGTTGTATTAGATTTTTTTTTATACAAATTAGAATGGCAAAAAAGCTGACGGCCCACCTGATGGAAAGTGGTAACCTATAGACATGAGCAGTACCATGGACATAACAGAGTATACTGTTTCGCCTATGATACCCCCTATGTTGAAATGTTAATGTGTGTGTACAATTCACTTCTATACTTAAGCACTCAAATTTTCTCATATTGAAAAATGACCTCCAAACTCCAAGGGATTTACTGTTATCCCAAATGTCATTTCACCCCTTCTTGAACAAAACCTGGCTCTGAAGCGAACGGATTGCTCGGTACATTGTCTAAACAATCCTTAAGTGATCAATGAATCGATCAAAAAGTCTCATATAACTGACATCTTTGTTCAAAACCGGACTTTATTATCTGATTATTTAGCTATAAATCAGAATGTTGAATCGTCGACTTTGTTTTTAAATTTAATATTTTCGACGCTAAAGCGATATAAAAGAATAAAGTGTTGTTAAACTAAAAGCTGCATTTTGCACTATTGCAAAAAGTCGCTATTCGTTCGGTGCGCTCAACTTTAAAGCGTCCAGTGACGTAAGTTTTTTGCTTTAAATTCAAAAAGACATAACATCAGTTTATTTTTAAAGCGATTCCAACTTTAACGTCCTTATTTTAAAATCGAAAATAGGGTATATTTGATAGCGAGTTCATCCAGTTTCTTCAGGGTAATTGCTCCAGTAGTCGGTCCATAACAAAACACATAAATTAAGTGCTCAATAATAAATGGAAATGTCCCTTGCAGAGGACAGGGCATTAGGGCGGGATTATGAGCGGCAGAGTGTTGGAGTACCCTCTGCACTCTCGCCTCCAGACCAAATGTCTGTATGGACTGAATAAAGGTTATTGTTTAAATAGAATTGTTTTCCAATTATTTTATTTAGACTACCGTGTTAATATTTTTTTTCATATTCATTCTTAATATTAACAGATACTTATGTTTTACCTATTGCATCAAATGGTAGTTCTAATTAATTCTAATTAAAATGTAATCATGCTCTTGATTTTACATCAAACTCTTTTACTATTCTTACTTTAAGATTGTTTAATTTCTTTATAGATAAATAGTTGTGTCCTACGATATTGTTTGAATAAATTTATGTTGAAAATACAGGGTAAATTGTAGTGTCATTTTAATTTGTTTCTTTGTTTGTATAACAAGAATAGATAGATATATAAACAGAAAAAATAATAAGTAAAATAAATCACACACCAATCTATTGACAAGCATTATTCCATTTTATTTAAAAATAAAATACGATAAGTATCTACACACACATCAAACTTGTCGATTGCAAACACACACACACACACACACACACACACACACACACACACACACAAACACACACACACACACACACACACACACACACGCACACACATGCATACACTCATATACATGCAAAAATATAAGTAAATTGAGAACTTTTTATTTGAATAAGATTAAAATAATCACCAGATATTTTATTACGAAATTCTTTTAAAGAAATAATAAACAAATATTTATTCTACTGTCATTACGAGAACAGGTTAAACACGCGACTAAACGCATAAAACGAATTTATAAGGGAGACGAATCTTTGGTGTCCATTTATCCCCTGTCAAGTTGACCACAAAGTGGCCAAATGTATGGGCTGTGTCAAACCGCCTTTTATGATACAAGTACCTGTAAATAGACATAAAAGATATTTATCTGTATGAAGTCAAACGGATCTGAGATACAGCATCAATTTATGTGCTATAAAACGAACGCGTGGACACAGGGGTGTCACGCTTGACCAGTTGTGCGCGTGAGGAGGCAAGGGTGTATTGGTCAGCACGCGCCCGGTAGAACCGGTTAGTTATTGGACAAGGGGAGATTGGGTAAGTTGGATGACCGGTATTCGATTGGAGGATATTCGCCAGGTGGCTGATTCGTTTAAAATTGAATTTGGAATTGGCTTATAAAATTTAAATATGTTTTTTAAATATTTTTTATTTACACGAAAAGGTATAAAAGAAACTATAAATAAGTAATTAAAATAAATATAGAAAAGAGAAATAATTACCTGTCATAATAAAATAAAAAGAGAAATATCAGAATACAAATAAAAAAAAATTGTTTTTAATTAGTAGAAATTTGCAAAAAGTTAAAATTATTTACTCTACTCTAACATTTTACATAGTATTTCTACTACATATAAAAAAAAAAATTAAATCATCCATACTGACCTTAGAAATTCTCCATTTTCTTTTATAAAAAATCTCTCATGAATTCTATCGAATCTAATTGCCGGGGACGGATAGCGTGGCGCGGCAAATGCGCGCAATCCGTTTGATATTTAATATGTCGCAAACTGAATACTTTCGAATATGCATGCATGCACGGATGCACCCGCGTTCGTTGGATACTGATCGATTTTATACGTGCAACTTTGCCCCATTTGTCCGCGTATCCACATTGTATTAGCGTTGCTTTGAATGTGGAACGTTCTTTATGTAAGTTTATGGACTGATTTAAAACAATTGTATATTTTTTTAATGT